CGTCGCCAAAGTCAACCACTAATCGGGTTAGCAAGCTGGAGTCACGCGTTCACTTTTGTTTCTGTGTAAGCCTCTAACCGTCTTTGGTGGACATTACTTGACCAGTCAGAAAACAGTACCTATCAAGTCAACTTGGCGAACCTGACAGATCAGCTGCTCACCCTGCTTCAAAGGTCACAGCTGGTAATGCCATCCTCTATGAAGATAACGCTTGACCCCGTGGAGCTCGTGGGGTGACTGGCTGTATTCAGCAACATGGGATCACCAGGAGAGCATGGCTAATTCATCCATCTGACCTTTGTCCGACGGGTATGTCCTTGGTCGCAGATTGTCAGCAAATCAATCCTGGTCAATGGGAGTCGCACAGCTGACTGCACTTCTGCTTCAGAAATGTCAAGCTGCTCCTCGGGATACTCTTCGGGCCCACTTGGTCTAGCTGCGTCTACGCTGCCTTAAATGCCTTTCTGCAAACGGCGGTGCTACCCGATTGTGAAATGTCTAGTTGTCCAAAGTCTATTGTGTCAAGTAACGGACGCCTTCAGGCGTTCTGGGCTTATAGGGCTAGACCTACATTTTATAGTACAGTCGACACCTGGAGGCTGTAATGGTCGCCTTTACTTCCCACGATCCCCCTGCTACCCACTAGAGGCTGGGTCGACTTGGGAGCTTAGACCATTTACAAAAAAAAACTAGCCCTGTCGGGACTCCAAACTACGACCTTCCGATCTGCTGGCGAGAGTCTAGACGTTACACTCCTGAATCTCTTTTGTGTAACTTTTGAACAGATGGCTAGCACACTTCACAGCTTCGTTGTGTCCGAACATATGTTTCCATTTTTTGACTTGAAATGTCTTGTGTAACTTTTGAACAGATAGCTAGCACACTTCACAGCTTCGTTGTGTCCGAACATATGTTTCCATTTCTTGACTTGAAATGTCTTGTGTAACTTTTGAACAGATGGCTAACACACTTCACAGCTTCGTTGTGTCCGAACATATGTTTCCATTTCTTGACTTGAAATGTCTTGTGTAACTTTTGAACAGATGGCTAGCACACTTCACAGCTTAGTTGTGTCCGAACGTATGTTTCCATTTCTTGACTTGAAATGTCTTGTGTAACTTTTGAACAGATGGCTAGCACACTTCACAGCTTAGTTGTGTCCGAACGTATGTTTCCATTTCTTGACTTGAAATGTCTTGTGTAACTTTTGAACAGATAGCTAGCACACTTCACTGCTTCGTTGACGACGTGGCATGTCAGTTTGGTGTTCAGTAAATGACGTTTCCACTGAATTTTACTTATTTTTATATCTGATTTGTTTAATGACTTCAACCAAAGTTTTTCTAAGTGGTCATTGACTATTTATGAGCAGCATATTTAAAAGGTGAATCATTACACCCTGTCTGGTACATATGCTGTTTATAGACATGTTTTCATTTGCCAGGATGTCAATTATGTCGTGAAATTTTCCTGGCCTACTTATAGGAAACCGCCATGTAAAAATAATCTCCATATTATTTTACCACCAACAAACGAGGTTCTCCGTGCTTGTCATTTACTTGCTGATAGTCCTGCAGCTGCCATGTTGATTTTGATTCCATCCAGCTCATCGAAACAGTCTGGTCTTCCTCATAGATTTTCATGTTTGGCAGAAATATAGCTTTGTCTGTGTTCATGATTTTCTATTTCCAATGTTCAGAAACAGATTTTTGTCTTCTTTGTGTTCACAGGCTGTAAACTCCGGTGAAAAGTTCTGGTTGTTCATCCACTTCTGGACTTTAGTTCCAGAACTTGAGTGCTGCGTGCACATCCAATTTACAAACATAATTATTGACTCTTATGACATGCTTGTTAAGAAAAAAGGGGGGGGGGGGGGGCAGTGAGTCTATTCTTGTATCCCTCAAAAGAAGCCAACAGAAAAACATCAAAAATGACAGACAACACAAAAGGGAAACCATGCTCTGTCTTTGCTGGACATAAAGTTGTATTGTTCTGTTTCTACCCAACAAATTCAACATCCATGTAACAAATAATAAGTTATTACAAGTTAGTCACCAAAATTATATTGATACCTAAAGTAATTCTTGATCCTGACCGTGGCAAAGACTTAGAACCTTTAATAACTTGGGAATTATTTACTGTAGAAAATGTTTGATATTATGAAATCATGAGATGAATAATATTCTGAAGCAATTCTGGTTATGCAAAATTAGTTTTAATATTAAAATATACATGAAGAGGATAGGTGTATATATGGACGTGTTAAGCAAATTACTGTGACAGTTATAATTATGAGTCCAAATTACCTCTCCCAGTGAATAACATTTTCTGATTGTATCAGATTGTATCAGCAGGGCACATAATGATAACAATAGTGTAGCTGTCATGTGGAATGACTGATTGATCTCATAGTTGATGTTAACATCTGTGAGACTGGAGGCTGGTGTTATCTCTGATAAGTTCATGATGTTAACATCTGTGAGACTGGAGGCTGGTGTCATTTCTTATAGTTCATGATGTTAACATCTGTGAGACTGGAGGCTAGTGTCATCTCTGAAAGTTCATGATGTTAACATCTGTGAGACTGGAGTCTAGTGTCATCTCTGATTGTGTTACTATGATTTTAACATCTGTGAGACTGGAGGCTGGTGTTATCTCTGATAAGTTCATGATGTTAACATCTGTGAGACTGGAGGCTAGTGTCATCTCTGACAGTTCATGATGTTAACATCTGTGTGACTGGAGGCTAGTGTCATCTCTGACAGTTCATGATGTTAACATCTGTGAGACTGGAGGCTGGTGACATCTCTGATAGTTCATGATGTTAACATCTGTGAGACTGGAGGCTGGTGTAATCTCTGATAAGTTCATGATGTTAACATCTGTGAGACTGGAGGCTAATGTCATCTCTGATAGTTCATGATGTTAACATCTGTGAGACTAGAGGCTGGTGTCATCTCTCTGAGATATTTCATGATGATGTTAACATCTGTGAGACTGGAGGCTAATGTCATCTCTGATAGTTCATGATGTTAACATCTGTGAGACTAGAGGCTGGTGTCATCTCTGATAGTTCATGATGTTAACATCTGTGAGACTGGAGGCTGGTGTCATCTCTGATAGTTCATGATGTTAACATCTGTGAGACTAGAGGCTGGTGTCATCTCTGACATCTCTGAGGCTAGTGACATCTCTCTGATAGTTCATGATGTTAACATCTGTGAGACTGGAGGCTCATGATGTTAACATCTGTGAGACTGGAGGCTAGTGTCATCTCTGATAAGTTCATGATGTTAACATCTGTGAGACTGGAGGCTGGTGTCATCTCTGATAGTTCATGATGTTAACATCTGTGAGACTGGAGGCTGGTGTCATCTCTAATAGTTCATGATGTTAACATTTGTGAGACTGGAGGCTAGTGTCATCTCTGATAGTTCATGATGTTAACATCTGTGAGACTAGAGGCTGGTGTCATCTCTGATAGTTCATGATGTTAACATCTGTGAGACTGGAGGCTGGTGTCATTTCTTATAGTTCATGATGTTAACATCTGTAAGACTGGAGGCTAGTGTCATCTCTGAAAGTTCATGATGTTAACATCTGTGAGACTGGAGTCTAGTGTCATCTCTGATTGTGTTACTATGATTTTAACATCTGTGAGACTGAAGGCTAGTGTCATCTCTGATAGTTCATGATGTTAACATCTGTGAGACTGGAGGCTAATGTCATCTCTGATAGTTCATGATGTTAACATCTGTGTGACTGGAGGCTGGTGTCATTTTTGATAGTTCATGATGTTAACATCCATGAGATTGGAGGCTAGTGTCATCTCTGACAGTTTATGATGTTAACATCTGTGAGACTGGAGGCTAATGTCATCTCTAATAGTTCATGATGTTAACATCTGTGTGACTGGAGGCTGGTGTCGTTTCTGATAGTTCATGATGTTAACATCTGTGAGACTGCAGGCTAATGTCATCTCTGATAGTTCATGATGTTAACATCTGTGAGACTGGAGGCTAGTGTCATCTTTGACAGTTCATGATGTTAACAGCCGTGTGACTGGAGGCTAGTGTCATCTCTGATAGTTCATGATGTTATCATCTGTGAGACTGGAGGTTAGAGTCATTTTGGATAGTTCATGATGTTAACATCTGTGAGACTGGAGGCTAGCATCATCTCTGATAGTTCATGATGTTAACATCTGTGAGACCAATAGCTAGTGTCATCTCTGATAGTTCATGATGTTAACATCTACATGATTGGAGGCTGGTGCCGTCTCTGATTGTGTTTCCATGCTAACACAGTCTGTGATTTTAACTGATGTGTTTGTCCACACCATTCATTCTCAAAAATGGACAAGTTCACACACGCAAAGCTTTAATGGCAAACAGTATGTCAGTACAGTGTGGTAGTTTTTCTCTGTATGATATCAGACCCACATACTTGAAAAGATGATCCTTGAAAATGTTACATATGCTGGCAACAGTTTACTCAGAAGCATTGATAATATGCAGCTGATTTCCAGTGAACTCTACCAGCAGGATAACTTTTATCTGAGGAACCTTTATTTGTGCCTGAGAAGAATTATCCAGTGATAACTTTTAATGTGAGCTAGATATAATACAGATCCTGAATCCCTCAACCCCTCCTTCCCTTGATGTTGCCCCAAAATACAAATTTGCATAATATACAGTGAAATATAAAAATCATAGAAGTGGTAAAATCAACATTTGTAAAAGAAATATAAAGTCTAGTAACAAGCGCATGAAGCAAATTAACAAAACAACTGACACACTCAGTTAAATAAAAATGAAACAGTAAGAAAATGGAATCATGTTTCTGTTCAGTCCAAGTTCTGCAGTGGTGTCCACAAATCTGGACTGCTCCATTAGGCTGACATGTTTGTGCTGGTTGCCTTACAGCTGATCACAGGTAACTGATGCTGGAGAAATTGCAGCACAGCTGGTAAGCACATGAGCAGGCTCGCTGTCCACTGTTCACATGTTGGACTTGGTCAGCCAGAAGAATTCCTTATGGGATGATACAAAAGAAATCAAAGATACTCAAGAACGCTACAAAATTCACTTAAATTTATATCTATCAACACCTGAAATGATATAACAGGAAGCAAAGAAGATGACCTTCTTGACATGGCTAGCAAGGCCAAACTTCACTCTCTACCGAGTTGCCAGAGAGTCCACATCCTTTACATACAAGTGAAACACATTTTCTGTGTAGAACAACATTTCCTATGGCTATAATAAGATCACAGGCTAACAATTAGAACAGATGCCAGAGCCACAGAAAGAAAAAGTCATAGAAAGTACTCTCTAAATGGCACTTGGATACATTGTGCCTCCCCCCCCTCTTTTCTGAAACTGCAAAAGCAGAACTGTTAGAATGTTATGTTTAATCAAAGAAAAAAAACAAGAAAAAAAAAAAAAAACAGAAGTGGAAGAGAGAAAAATGAAATATTAACACTATATATATTTAAAAATGCTATTAGGAAAGGAATGAGATGAGAAAGACCAAACTGTGCTTATACTCAATATCCTATACAACAATGCATGGGAATATGTCACAGTGACATGGTCTTTCTGCCTAGTACAAGACACTGATCCCTTTTGGTGTGGTGTCACACGACCTGTTATTTCACCATCCACCTTGTGTTCTTTGTGATCAATTGTTGTAGGCTCAGTTCAACAGTTGTGTTGCCTCCAGAAATTCACATGCAAAGACTGACCAGACAATAGTGGCAGGTAACCAGGCAACTCACCTGAGCTTTCCGTTGTGCCTGGGGGTTTATCATGATATTGATGACGGAAGGCATCGTGGTGTTCTTCAGGGCGGCCTTCAAGCTGGCTTTCAGTTCTTCAGTTGTCTGGACAAAGAAACCGCTACCACCAAAAGCTTCGATCAGTTTCTCATATCTAGTGTTGGGACACAGTGACTTTGCAGGGATTCTAAATAACACAGTAATCAACATATATATATAATTATTAACATAGTCTGGAAACATGACATGAAAGATCAGTAATGTTCAGCATACAGAAACATATTAGTAGGATTATACACATTCAAGGAAGCTGTGGTAGCAGGTAGCTAGATGCTACCCTGCAGGCTAGAATATCCTGGGTACCAGTATCCATCCCGATGTGGGTTCTGAGGTCCCATTGTGAGGAAAACTAGAACAGACCCACTGCCTACCCAAAAGCATGTCATAATAGACTAACTGAAAGATTTTTTTTGTTTTGAAGTCGGAGTGCATTCCCCTTAGAGGTGAGGAACCAACAGTCTGCATGAGTCAGTCTGTTAAATGGATGTGCACACACAACTCTACTCATGTTCTGGAATAGGACTTGAGTCCAGAACTGGATGAACAACCAGAACTTTCCACTGGAGTTTACAGCTGATGAATGCAAAGAAGAAGAACACACATTAGAAAGATTTTTGCAACACCTTGGTTCCTGGGCTCACCCAGCCTGAAAAAGAAACCAGGTAATGTCATAGGAAGTAAAGTCAGCTGGCTGACCCCACTGCAGGAACCGGGTCTCCATGACAAAGTGGTCTAGCCTTTCCCTCCCACATTAAAGGTCGTGAATTTGTTTCATGGCAGTGTTGTTTGATTCACAAGTGAAATTCTATGGAGATCATCGCCAGAGCCAAGGAAGTCACGCTTTGTGTAATGCTCACAGTGGGTGGCTAGCCGGGTGCAATGAAGCTCTCAACATTAACACCCCCCCCCCACCCTCCCCCAATTTTGTTTTAACATCACCCACTATGTGCCAATCAAATGGTCTACACAAATGTGAGTCTACAATAATATGCCTGATTGGCCACAGCCACAAGAAGGGCTCCTCTTCTCCTCTTCCACTATTGATCTCAGCGAGGAGTTGGGGGGAAGATGTCAGGATTGTTTGTGCACTTTTTTCCAATGCATTGTACAAGTTAGTGTTCATTTCTGTTAGGTTGCTCTTGATGATGTCGCTCCAACTCTTGGGTGGCTTACCCCTTGCTTTGTGTACAATTATATTTATTCAGCATGGCTGTACGAGGCAGTTGGTACCAGGGCATTCTCGTTAGGTGGCCCAACCATTTCATTTGTACATAACATGCTTTATTGATGAAATACAACTGCTGTGTGAAAGATGGGAGTTTGGAAGGGCCAAATGTAAGACAGGCCTGCGTGCCTAATTTGTAACCCTTTGAAAATAAAGTTTGTTTGTTTGTTTTATAATGAATTGTATGACTGGTTTCAGTCTTAGTCTTCTAATGTCTTCATTCTTGGTTTTATCTATTCTTGTCACACCGACAGCTCTTCTAAGACGTCACATCTCTGCTGTTAGGATCTTCTGTTAATGTCTTCATTCTTGGTTTTATCTCTTCTTGTCACACCGACAGCTCTTCTAAGACGTCACATCTCTGCTGTTAGGATCTTCTGTTAATGTCTTCATTCTTGGTTTTATCTATTCTTGTCACACCGACAGCTCTTCTAAGACGTCACATCTCTGCTGTTAGGATCTTCTGTTTGTTAGTTGTAGTAAGTGTCCATGTTTGGGACTGGTAGCACAATGTCACCTAAAAACCTGTTCTTATGAGATTTGCTCTGGTTGACATGCATCAGAAATATATATTTACTACCATTTTTTTGGTATTAACAATCAAACTCAAAAAGAAGATACAAGCACTGGAAATGAGATGGTTCCGAAAAATTCTTGGCATATCATACAGAGATCACATTACACATGAAAAGGTTTACCGTCTAATTACCCAGCACATTGGCAACTAAAAACCTTTTTTAACTACTGTCAAAAGGCGGAAACTGAAATTGTACGGACAGGTAATAAGATCTAACAGCCTCTCAAAAACAAAACTACAGGGCTCAGAAGATGAGAAAAGGCAGACCAAGAAATACCTGGATACAGAACTAAACTCATTGGACAGACCTTAGCCATGCAATCATTGGACAGACCTTAGCCAAGCAACCATTGGACAGACCTTAGCCATGCAACCATTGGACAGACCTTAGCCATGCAACCATTGGACAGACCTTAGCCATGCAACCACTGGACAGACCTTAGCCATGCAACCACTGGACAGACCTTAGCCATGCAACCATTGGACAGACCTTAGCCATGCAACCATTGGACAGACCTTAGCCATGCAACCATTGGACAGACCTTAGCCATGCAACCACTGGACAGACCTTAGCCATGCAACCATTGGACAGACCTTAGCCATTGAACCATTGGACAGACCTTAGCCATGCAATCACTGGACAGACCTTAGCCATGCAACCATGAAGTGCATCACATTTGATCCTCAGTAATAAAGAAAGCTGATCTGACTGTCAACAGAAACTGGTGACCCAATGGCCCGCAGTGTTACAAGATGATGATGATGATGATGATGATGATGATACTGTAGGGTTATAAATGATGAAGACTGAAGCGCACAAATTCAAGTGTAAGACAAAACTAAGTGCACAAATTGAAGTGTAAGACAAGACTAAAGCACACAAATTGAAGTGTAAGACAAGACTAAAGCACACAAATTCAAGTGTAAGACAAGACTAAGTGCATGAATTGAAGTGTAAGACAAGACTAAAGCACACAAATTGAAGTGTAAGACAAGACTAAAGCACACAAATTGAAGTGTAAGACAAGACTAAAGCACACAAATTGAAGTGTAAGACAAGACTTAAGCACACAAATTGAAGTGTAAGACAAGACTAAAGCACACAAATTGAAGTGTAAGACAAGACTAAAGCACACAAATTGAAGTGTAAGACAAGACTAAAGCACACAAATTGAAGTGTAAGACAAGACTAAGTGCACGAATTGAAGTGTAAGACAAGACTAAAACACACAAATTGAAGTGTAAGACAAGACTAAAGCACACAAATTGAAGTGTAAGACAAGACTAAAGCACACAAATTGAAGTGTAAGACAAGACTAAAGCACACAAATTGAAGTGTAAGACAAGACTAAAGCACACAAATTGAAGTGTAAGACAAGACTAAAGCACACAAATTGAAGTGTAAGACAAGACTAAAGCACACAAATTGAAGTGTAAGACAAGACTAAAGCACACAAATTGAAGTGTAAGACAAGACTAAAGCACACAAATTGAAGTGTAAGACAAGACTAAAGCACACAAATTGAAGTGTAAGACAAGACTAAAGCACACAAATTGAAGTGTAAGACAAGACTAAAGCACACAAATTGAAGTGTAAGACAAGACTAAAGCACACAAATTGAAGTGTAAGACAAGACTAAAGCACACAAATTGAAGTGTAAGACAAGACTAAAGCACACAAATTGAAGTGTAAGACAAGACTAAAGCACACAAATTGAAGTGTAAGACAAGACTAAGTGCATGAATTGAAGTGTAAGACAAGACTAAAGCACACAAATTGAAGTGTAAGACAAGACTAAGTGCACGAATTGAAGTGTAAGACAAGACTAAAGTGCACAAATTGAAGTGAAAGACAAGACTAAAGCACATACACTGAACTGTGAGACAAGACTAAGTGCACACATTGAAGTGTAAGACTGAAAAATTACAGCTGAAAGAATCATATTATACACTGCAAAATATCAAAGAATGAGATCAGAATTCTTATGCAGCTTTAAAAACAGTAACCAACAATTGGATAAATATGATTATAAGAGTGGAGAAAGCAGATCACAGACTGGGGACTTTCCACCTGTGAAGGGAGCCATCAGACCAAAGACTGGATGCAATACACTGACAGGTGGGAGATATGAAACTAAAGATTGTAGACAAGAGATAAAAGGTGGAAAAGAGCACAAAAACAAGAGAGGTTGGATGAAAGACCAAGCTTAGATAACAGATGGGAGATGTGACAAGAAACACCAAATGTTATTTAGCTCTGCTATTTTTTTTACAGGATGTTGTAAAACCAACTGCAGCATTTTTTGGCTTGTTTGCTTTTACGAGACTATTTTAGGTTGAGTAGGTTGCTGTTGCAATTGTCAAAATCAATGAATAGTGATCTGCTGCCTAAATGCCTGCAGCTAGAATCAAGCCAGGTACTGAGATATAAGATGCCTTATTGGAGATATAAGACTACAGACAGATGTCACTAGACAACAGCTTTTGACCATACATTAGACTGAAAGCCTGAGGTCAAAGATCAGGGAGATCAGACTAGATAAACTTATACAGAAAATGAGGAAATGTTTACAATTTATAGTCTAATTCAAGTTAGGCTAAGAGTGATAAAAAGGTGATGCATGGGAAGTAACTGTAAACAATCCAGCAATGGGTTGTCTATCTATGCCTAGTCAACTTACACTTTCAGTGCGAAATAATGCATCCCATATGTCTATATATGAATGATATAATAGAAAATCAAAGAACCAAATGGTTTGGCCATCTGAATAGAATGGACCACACTCAGCCAGCAGCTCAGGTGTACTACATAAGAACAGCAGGCTATAAGCCAAGAGGCAGACCAAGAAAGAGATGGGTGGAGGGAGTAAAAGAAACACTACACAAACATAATATGACATTAACACAAGCTAGGCAACTAGAAAAAAACAGGAAACTATTCTTGTTATACTCGGTAACAAGTTTAAAAATTATAATCCCTCACGTCAAAAGTGGGTCTCCAGATTGTTGAGCCAGTTTGAATTCTTCTTCTGAGATGCCATAGCCAATACCATTGTTGTTGAAAATAATGATTATGACTGGAAGACGGTATCTGTATAAACAAACATAATAAACATTTACAACAGGTGAAAACAAAAACACTAGACATACATACAATGACAACTGCAGATTTAAAATTGATCTTACACATCTAAGTCTAAATCAGCCAATAAATTTTAGATCAACAGATAACTGAAAATGTCTCAGTCCACAATATAAATTATAGATCAACAGATAACTTACAATGTTTCAGTCCACAGTTAAATTTTAGATCAACAGATAACTTACAATGTCTCAGTCCACAGTTAAATTATAGATCAACAGATAACTTACAATGTCTCAGTCCACAGTATAAATTATAGATCAACAGATAACTTACAATGTCTCAGTCCACAATATAAATTATAGATCAACAGATAACTTACAATGTCTCAGTCCACAGTTAAATTATAGATCAACAGATAACTTACAATGTTTCAGTCCACAGTTAAATTATAGATTAACAGATTACTTACAATTTTTCAGTCCACAGTATAAATTATAGATCAACAGATAACTTACAATGTCTCAGTCCACAGTATAAATTATAGATCAACAGATAACTTACAATGTCTCAGTCCACAATATAAATTATAGATCAACAGATAACTTACAATGTCTCAGTCCACAGTTAAATTATAGATTAACAGATAACTTACAATGTTTCAGTCCACAGTTAAATTATACATTAACAGATTACTTACAATGTTTCAGTCCACAGTTAAATTATAGATCAACAGATAACTTACAACGTTTCAGTCCACAGTTAAATTTTAGATCAACAGATAACTTACAATGTCTCAGTCCACAGTTAAATTATAGATCAACAGATAACTTACAATGTCTCAGTCCACAGTATAAATTATAGATCAACAGATAACTTACAATGTCTCAGTCCACAATATAAATTATAGATCAACAGATAACTTACAATGTCTCAGTCCACAGTTAAATTATTGATCAACAGATAACTTATAATGTTTCAGTCCACAGTTAAATTATAGATTAACAGATTACTTACAATGTTTCAGTCCACAGTATAAATTATAGATCAACAGATAACTTACAACGTTTCAGTCCACAGTTAAATTTTAGATCAACAGATAACTTACAATGTCTCAGTCCACAGTTAAATTATAGATCAACAGATAACTTACAATGTCTCAGTCCACAGTATAAATTATAGATTAACAGATAACTTACAATGTCTCAGTCCACAGTATAAATTATAGATCAACAGATAACTTACAATGTCTCAGTCCACAGTATAAATTATAGATCAACAGATAACTTACAATGTCTCAGTCCACAGTATAAATTATAGATCAACAGATAACTTACAATATCTCAGTCCACAGTATAAATTATAGATCAACAGATAACTTACAATGTCTCAGTCCACAGTATAAATTATAGATCAACAGATAACTTACAATGTCTCAGTCCACAGTATAAATTATAGATCAACACATAACTTACAATATCTCAGTCCACAGTATAAATTATAGATCAACAGATAACTTTCAATATCTCAGTCCATGGTATAATTTATAGATCAAAATTAAACTAGCAATGTCTAATTCAGCAGTCTACAATTTAACAAAGTCACAAGTCTAAGCTGACTAAGTAAGCTTTACATTTTGAGTCGAAGTAAAATGTCTATGTCTAAAGTGAGTCAAGACTCTAGCATGACCAGGTAAAGATTCTAGCATGACCAGGTCAAGATTCTAGCATGACCAAGTCAACATTCTAGCATGACCAGGTCAAGATTCTAGCATGACTAAGTCAACATTCTAGCATTACCAAATCAAAATTCTAGCATTACCAAGTCAAGATTCTAGCATGACTAAGTCAAGATTCTAGCATAACCATGTCAGGAAATAAAAATGCCTGTGAGTGTACCTTGCAATAGTTTCTATTTCCATTCCTGAGAAACCAAAAGCACTGTCTCCCTCAACACAAACAACTCTCTTGTTAGGATGATAGTCTCTGCAATAAATTGCTGCGGCCAAGGCAAACCCAAGCCCCACACCCATGGTGCCGAAAGTCCCAGCGTCAAGTCTGGGGGTAGAAGTTCTTGCCATTTATACTTGTTCATAGTAAAAATAAAAATTTAGGGGCACCAACTACCACTGTTGTTGTTGGCACCTTTTCTTCTTTCCAGACAACAGTAATATATTGTGCTTTGAGGAGACATGAGACTCACAGCCCATGGTGATGGTGAGTGTGACTAACATGGGACTCACAGCCCATGGTGATGGTGAGTGTGACTAACATGGGACTCACAGCCCATGGTGATGGTGAGTGTGACTAACATGGGACTCACAGCCCATGGTGATGGTGAGTGTGACTAACATGGGACTCACAGCCCATGGTGATGGTGAGTGTGACTAACATGGGACTCACAGCCCATGGTGATGGTGAGTGTGACTAACATGGGACTCACAGCCCATGGTGATGGTGAGTGTGACTAACATGGGACTCACAGCCCATGGTGATGGTGAGTGTGACTAACATGGGACTCACAGCCCATGGTGATGGTGAGTGTGACTAACATGGGACTCACAGCCCATGGTGATGGTGAGTGTGACTAACATGAGACTCACAGCACATGGTGATGGTGAGTGTGACTAACATGGCACTCACAGCCCATGGTGATTGATGAGTGTGACTAACATGGCACTCACAGCCCATGGTGATGGTGAGTGTGACTAACATGGCACTCACAGCCCATGGTGATGGTGAGTGTGACTAACATGGGACTCACAGCCCATGGTGATGGTGAGTGTGACTAACATGGGACTCACAGCCCATGGTGATGGTGAGTGTGACTAACATGGGACTCACAGCCCATGGTGATGGTGAGTGTGACTAACATGGTACTCACAGCCCATGGTGATGGTGAGTGTGACTAACATGAGACTCACAGCCCATGGTGATGGTGAGTGTGACTATCATGGGACTCACAGCCCATGGTGATGGTGAGTGTGACTAAAATGGGACTCACAGCACATGGTGATTGATGAGTGTAACTAACATGGTACTCACAGCCCATGGTGATGGTGAGTGTGACTAACATGAGGATCACAGCCCATTGTGATGGTGAGTGTGACTAACAAAACCTGCCTGCATTAGAGCTTGGGATTTCAGAATCTTGTGGCCCATAAAAGTATTTAGTGTGTTTCGTCTCAGACCTCCTCCTTTCTGCAATCTTTTCTTCCTTCAGTCTCATTTCCTTTCTGATTTGGCCCCTCCACATAGCATGGTCCACAGCATTTTGTTCCCATAAATCTACCTCAATACCTGTATCATCATTTATGTCCTTCTTTCCCGTTCCCTTTGAAAAAAAATAAAAGCTGGTGTAGATTGTTGAAGAGGGAGGTGGGGGAATGGGGTGGGAAGGTAGTCTATTCTGTTGTGACTGCATTCATTTCTGATTGGTCGTTATCTTTATTGTAGACCTGGTCACCAAGTTGGATTCCAACATGGCTGATCAACAAAGTATTTAGCAAGGTCTGCCTCACACACCAGTCTACACCATCTCACCAATTGGGGTGGGGTTCGGGGAGGGGGGAGGGAGAGTTCAGGTCTGCTCTAGTCCATATCAGCCCGCGCGTCTACCCTACTTGTTCTATGGCATGACCTGTAATGTCACATGATTTCATACTAAATTTTATAAAGGAAGTGGGACTTGATGAGTACGTCTGTACGAAAATACTGAATATATAGTTACAGCCAACAAGGTGTATATATCCATGCAATGGAGCCTCCATTCACATATACAATCTTACATATCTGCACTCCCATTTACACATCAATATACCTGTACCTATGACCATTCATTATACTTATTCAAGGGTACCTCACTCAGAGAGTGGCAATGATATGACAAACATCTGCTATAATATCTAGTACAATATCTAGTATTATTTATGGGCTGACACTGTCTGTTTTTTATTCTGGACCCATCAGAACTTGATCTTCATTTTGCATTAGCCTATCATGTCTGAGTCCTGTCATGTCTGAGTCCTGTCATGTCTGAGTCCTGTCATGTCTTGAGTCCTGTCATGTCTTGAGTCCTGTCATGTCTTGAGTCCTGTCATGTCTGAGTCCTGTCATGTCTGAGTCCTGTCATGTCTGAGTGAGTCCTGTCATGTCTGAGTGAGTCCTGTCATGTCTGAGTGAGTCCTGTCATGTCTGAGTCCTGTCATGTCTGAGTCCTGTCATGTCTTGAGTCCTGTCATGTCTTGAGTCCTGTCATGTCTGAGACCTGTCATGTCTGAGTTTGCTACAATCTCTAGTGCTTCCATCATGCTGACCAGTTCCACAGTGCAAACTGCAGCATGTACTGTTATTTCAAACTCTCCTGTATTTCCAACTGAGGAATAATTACTCCTGCTCCCACTTCTCCTACCTCCTTCTTAGATACATAAGTATATACTATCAGGTTATTCATTTGGAATTTGTCTATATATTCCTCTGCTATGGTTTTAGCGTCAAAATTTTCACTATTTTTAGAAATACTTTTGAGGACTCATGTCTGTCAGTGGTAATTCTAGTTTCCATGGGGGATCTAGGGGACGTACCTAATGCTTGCTGTCAGAGTCCTAGCTAGTCCATTTATGTCCTGTTTGCACACGTCTTTATATTTCATAGGGCACACAGGTGTGCAAGGAAATGAGCAAGCTAATAGGCTTGCAGGTAAAGCTACCATGGCGAGTGAACATGTCATGGATCATGCTGATATACGGAATGCTCTACCAGAAGTAAGACGCAGGAACCAAGTGACCTGAATCAGCAACAATGATCCGACTGCAAGAATAGCAAGTTAAAAGGGGGTGTGGCCTGACAGGAGCACTACCCAGGAAGCCAAACAAGAATAGAAAACCATCACAGTGAGAAACTACACACTGCGGGATTTACTGAGAAGGGGATCTGAGCACTTATGGACTGAATGGTTCCATGTGCAGTGAGGATAATCCATCGACTTACTAACTAATGTGTACATGCTGTCATCAGAGATGTCTGCCCTTGCTCACAAATACTAAGATGTCTGCCCTTGTTCACAAAGACTAAGATGTCTGCCCTTGTTCACAAAGACTAAGATGTCTCCCCTTGTTCACAAATACTAAGATGTCTGCCCTTGCTCACAAAGACTAAGATGTCTGCCCTTGTTCACAAATACTAAGATGTCTGCCCTTGCTCACAAATACTAAGATGTCTGCCCTTGTTCACAAATACTAAGATGTCTGCCCTTGTTCACAAATACTAAGATGTCTGCCCTTGTTCACAAATACTAAGATGTCTGCCCTTGCTCACAAAGACTAAGATGTCTGCCCTTGTTCACAAATACTAAGATGTCTGCCCTTGTTCACAAAGACTAAGATGTCTGCCCTTGTTCACAAATACTAAGATGTCTGATTCACTACCCAGCATCAAGGTGAAGCAAGTCAGTCATTTAAACAAAAAAACAAAAAAATTTTCAATTGTCAAACACCACAAAGTCATTCTGTTTGCTGAACTGGATCTCCTAACCTCTGAGTTCTTCCACTACTGTCCTCTTTTAGCAAGAATGGACAAACAAAATATCTACCAGATTTAACTCATTCCTCTTCTTTTCCTTATTAACCTAAAATAAACCAAACATATATAAAAACAGACCTATGTCTTGGGTGCTGATTAAGCAACATTGTTCGACCAATGTCCATTGTGTTTGAACCTTCGTTGATAATGATACAGTCTTTGGGGATTGCACTCTGCACCTACAATAAACAACAACAGTAATAAGTCTTTTTGTGAAGGAGAGGGGGGGGGGGGGGGGGTGAGGGTTGGACATCATTCTCCCATGCTGTAACATATAACAGCGAGTCTGGCTTGTGCTAAGATGTTCAAGTAGAGTGTTGTGAGGCTTGTACTAAGCTGTTCAAGTAGAGTGTTGTGAGGCTTGTGCTAAGCTGTTCAAGTAGAGTGTTGTGAGGCTTGTGCTAAGCTGTTCAAGTAGAGTGTTGTGAGGCTTGTGCTAAGCTGTTCAAGTAGAGTGTTGTGAGGCTTGTACTAAGCTGTTCAAGTAGAGTGTTGTGAGGCTTGTGCTAACTGTTCAAGTAGAGTGTTGTGAGGCTTGTGCTAAGATGTTCAAGTAGAGTGTTGTGAGGCTTGTGCTAAGCTGTTCAAGTAGAGTGTTGTGAGGCTTGTGCTAAGCTGTTCAAGTAGAGTGTTGTGAGGCTTGTGCTAAGCTGTTCAAGTAGAGTGTTGTGAGGCTTGTGCTAAGCTGTTCAAGAAGAGTGTTGTGAGGCTTGTGCTAAGCTGTTCAAGAAGAGTGTTGTGAGGCTTGTGCTAAGCTGTTCAAGTAGAGTGTTGTGAGGCTTGTGCTAAGCTGTTCAAGAAGAGTGTTGTGAGGCTTGTGCTAAGCTGTTCAAGTAGAGTGTTGTGAGGCTTGTGCTAAGCTGTTCAAGAAGAGTGTTGTGAGGCTTGTGCTAAGCTGTTCAAGAAGAGTGTTGTGAGGCTTGTGCTAAGCTGTTCAAGTAGAGTGTTGTGAGGCTTGTGCTAAGCTGTTCAAGAAGAGTGTTGTGAGGCTTGTGCTAAGCTGTTCAAGTAGAGTGTTGTGAGGCTTGTGCTAAGCTGTTCAAGAAGAGTGTTGTGAGGCTTGTGCTAAGCTGTTCAAGTAGAGTGTTGTGAGGCTTGTGCTAAGCTGTTCAAGAAGAGTGTTGTGAGGCTTGTGCTAAGCTGTTCAAGAAGAGTGTTGTGAGGCTTGTGCTAAGCTGTTTAAGTAGAGTGTTGTGAAAGAATACAAGAGCTAAAAGCTTCAATAGTGTTACTGCCTGAACTGGCAGCATCACAGACTCCAGCCCACTGACGTGTGCGCACACACACTCACATGCATGTGCATGCACACGCACATGCACACACACACACACACTGAGGAATATTTAAAAAAAAAAAAAAAAAAAAAATTGTTATCACATAAGTGAAGCCAGCGCTCCAAGTGAATGCAAGAACTGACAGAAGCAGCATAAATGATCTCATTTCTGGTTCTATCTATGGCATCATGTTCATGTAAGTCTTGCTTTAATGACCCTAAAACCAGTTCTTGATGCCCATTACATAAATAACAGCTGTATCAACTTACCTCACTATAGGCTGCATAGTAGTTTAACGGAACACTGTGATCCTTGCTCATAGACTGCAAGTGAAAAACAAATTATGTGCCAGTTAGAGGTGGATGATGATGATACAATTTTTATGGCTTCTGGAGCCCTTTTGTGTCGAAAACAAGAATAGACCCACTGCCTCCCCAAAAGCATGTCGTAAGAGTCGACTTACTGGGGAGCTTCCTTTAAAGTCGGAGTGCATCTGCCTGAGAGGCAAGAAACCAGCAGTCTGCATTCAATTGAATCAGATCTGTAAAACTGATGCACACGCAACACTCAGGTTCTGGAGCAGGACTGCAGTCCAGAAGTGGACGAACAACCAGAACTTTACGCCAGAGTGTACAGCTGGTGAACGCAAAGAAGAAGAAAATGGCACATTACCATTTATCCTCTTCATCCTTCTTCTTCAAACATGGTTTATACTGCAACATAACAGCCTTCTTTTGCCCCCTAAATCTTAGTCTTGTATTTTCCCTTGCAACTTATAGTCTGTATTTTCCCTTGCAACTTATAGTCTGTATTTTTTTATTCCAACTTTTAGTCTGTGTTTTCCTTTGCAACTTATAGTCTGTATTTTTCTATTCCAACTTTTAGCCTGTATTTTCCCTTGCAACTTATAGTCTGTATTTTTCTATTCCAACTTTTAGCCTGTATTTTCCCTTGCAACTTATAGGCTGTATTTTTCTATTCCAACTTTTAGCCTGTATTTTCCCTTGCAACTTATAGTCTGTATTTTTCTATTCCAACTTTTAGCCTGTATTTTCCCTTGCAAATTATAGTCTGTATTTTTCTATTCCAACTTTTAGCCTGTATTTTCGCTTGCAAATTATAGTCTGATTTTTCTATTCCAACTTTTAGCCTGTATTTTCCCTTGCAAATTATAGTCTGTATTTTTTTATTCCAACTTTTAGCCTGTATTTTCCCTTGCAACTTATAGTCTGTATTTTTCTATTCCAACTTTTAGCCTGTATTTTCCCTTGCAACTTATAGCCTGTATTTTTCTATTCCAACTTTTAGCCTGCATCTTCCCCTACAACCTATAGAATGTATTTTCCCCTTACAACCTAAGCCTGTATTGTCCCTTAAAATTTAGAACTTGTATTTTCCCCTACAACTTATAGCCAGTATTTTCCCTTACAGCGTATTACCTGTATTTTTCTCTTACAACTTATCACCTGTATTTTTCCTTACAACTTAGAGCCTAAATTTTCCCCTTACAACTTAAGGCTTGTATTTTCCCCTTACAAATAATAGTCTGTATTTTTCCCTTACAACCTATAGCCTGTATTTTCTCCTTAAAACATAAAGCCTGTATTTTCCCCTTAAAACATTTAGCCTGTATTTTCTCCTTAAAACATATAGCCTGTATTTTCCTCTTACAACTTTTAGCCTGTATTTTCCTCTTACAACTTATAACCTGTATTTTCCTTTTACAACTTTTAGCCTGTATTTTCCCTTGCAACTTATAGTCTGTATTTTTCTATTCCAACTTTTAGCCTGTATTTTCCCTTGCAACTTATAGTCTGTATTTTTCTATTCCAACTTTTAGCCCGTATTTTCCCTTGCAAATTATAGTCTGATTTTTCTATTCCAACTTTTAGCCTGTATTTTTGCTTGCAAATTATAGTCTGATTTTTCTATTCCAACTTTTAGCCTGTATTTTCCCTTGCAAATTATAGCCTGTATTTTTCTATTCCAACTTTTAGCCTGCATCTTCCCCTACAACCTATAGAATGTACAACCTAAGCCTGTATTGTCCCTTAAAATTTAGAACTTGTATTTTCCCATACAACTTATAGCCTAAATTTTCCCCTTACAACTTAAGGCTTGTATTTTCCCCTTACAAATAATAGCCTGTATTTTTCCCTTACAACCTATAGCCTGTATTTTCTCCTTAAAACATAAAGCCTGTATTTTCCCCTTAAAACATTTAGCCTGTATTTTCTCCTTAAAACATATAGCCTGTATTTTCCTCTTACAACTTTTAGCCTGTATTTTCCTCTTACAACTTATAACCTGTATTTTCCTTTTACAACTTTTAGCCTGTATTTTCCCTTGCAACTTATAGTCTGTATTTTTCTATTCCAACTTTTAGCCTGTATTTTCCCTTGCAACTTATAGTCTGTATTTTTCTATTCCAACTTTTAGCCCGTATTTTCCCTTGCAAATTATAGTCTGTATTTTTCTATTCCAACTTTTAGCCTGTATTTTCCCTTGCAAATTATAGTCTGATTTTTCTATTCCAACTTTTAGCCTGTATTTTCCCTTGCAAATTATAGTCTGTATTTTTTAATTCCAACTTTTAGCCTGTATTTTCCCTTGCAACTTATAGTCTGTATTTTCTATTCAAACTTTTAGCCTGTATTTTCCCTTGCAACTTATAGCCTGTATTTTTCTATTCCAACTTTTAGCCTGCATCTTCCCCTACAACCTATAGAATGTATTTTCCCCTTACAACCTAAGCCTGTATTGTCCCTTAAAATTTAGAACTTGTATTTTCCCCTACAACTTATAGCCTGTATTTTCCCTTACAGCGTATTACATGTATTTTTCTCTTACAACTTATCACCTGTATTTTTCCTTACAACTTAGAGCCTAAATTTTCCCCTTACAACTTAAGGCTTGTATTTTCCCCTTACAAATAATAGCCTGTATTTTTCCCTTACAACCTATAGCCTGTATTTTCCCCTTAAAACATTTAGCCTGTATTTTCTCCTTAAAACATATAGCCTGTATTTTCCTCTTACAACTTTTAGCCTGTATTTTCCTCTTACAACTTATAACCTGTATTTTCCTTTTACAACTTATAGCCTGTATTTTCCCTTAGAACTTTTAGCCCGTATTTGTTTCTTATAACTTACAGTCTTTTGTTCTCCCCCTTTCAACATACAGTCTTGTATTTATCTTTACAACTTACAGTCTTGTAATTTTCCTTATAAATTATAGTCTTGTATTTCCCCTGACAACTTAGTCTTGTACTTTCTTTAAAAAATGGGAGCTGCGTGGTCTCAAGGCATGGTTTCCGCCTCAAGTGTTAGAGGTTCCGGGTTCAATACCCGGTAAGGGCTGGGATTTTTCACGTGGACTTGGACTTTTAGTAATTTTCCCTGGTTCCTGAGCAGTGATATCGGACACCCGTGTGCAATGTTGCGCACGTAAAAAAAAATCCCTTTCCAGTTAGAAATTTTAAAAAAAGTAGCCTAATGGCGCTGCCCAGGCAAAATTTGGAGTTAAAAATCTACCCAAGGAATATTTCAGGATCCTCGCTGGTGCTACAGAGACTTGAGTTATAAGAAAAACGGAGCACTTATGGGTTACTACCCACGTGCCATGATGTTGATCCGTTGTTCAAACCTTAAACATGTTAAAATTAAATATAGAATGCTCCTCCTTATTTCAGAATGAAACACAGATAGGCTTTAATATCTCAGCACGAAACAAAGAATGCCTTTAATCATTTATGAATGAAACGAATGAAACAAAGAATGCCTTTAATCATTAAAAATGAAACAAAGCATGCCCTTCTTCATTTATGAATGAAACAAAGAATACACTCCATCATTTATGAATGAAACAAAGAATACACTCCATCATTTATTAATAAAATAAAGAATACTTTCAATATCCAAGAATGAGTACCTGTCAATATTTATTGAAGAGTTCATTTTAGAACCATCAATTCTCAATCTGCCTGTAATATTTCAGAATGAACGTTTAATTCCCCTTCATATTTGGAATGAGATATGCCCACTATGCTTAAGAACAAGACATGCAGTCTCTTCTCATCATGAGAATCAAACTTGTTGACAAATAGGCCAGCGGCACAACTTACTTGCACAGTTTCTTGATTGGCATCAATCTTTGCTTTCAAAGTTTTCCACCAGGCAGAGTTGACATTAAACTTAAATTGACCAGGTCGGCGCTGGAACTCGTCATACAACTGAAAGATTACATTTTAATCTGCATAACCTCCAGCTTACATGTTCTACACACACACGTATACTTACACACACACACACAAAACCAGAACAGTGTTCTCAGGAATTTAAGCTAATAATTGATGGAGTATGAGTAAAGATTGATGGAGTATGACTAAAGATTGTAGTCGTCGGGGACCCTAATATAACCCAATGGTTAAACAGAGCTTCTGGAACTTGTGTGGGGAAATTCTTGTCCGACTGGTGGCACTTTGTGTCACCATGTGCTTATCCCTCATTGTGTGGTCCTTGTGGGGTTGAACGTCATACACTCGACTAAAGATGGGAATTCTAATATTTTAAATGTAATTTGAACAAACTGCAAGTATCATAGTTGTTTTGTTATAAACTTTAGTCAGTTATTGTGAAAAAAATTACAGGTACTGATTATCGCTCACAAAAGATACAGAAAAGAAGCAAAAGACAGAGGACACAGTATACAAGCATTTGCTTGGATTGACACAGGTCACCCACACAATCACAGCAACTATCCAAAGCAACAAGTCTATAGCTGACTTGACATCAAAGAAATATGTCAATAACTAAATCAATCACAGGCATTAACTTGTGCTTGCAGACAACAAAATGACACAACAATCATGATGCAATCATAGTTTGGGGAGAGGCGAACAAATCTTGGTTGATCAACAGGTGAGGACAGATCGCTGGTGTTAGTTTGGAACATGTTTAGACAGCTTGTCAATAATATATGTGTAGAAAATCATTTCTCTGAAACCTACAGGCAACAGAAATATAGAAAGAATTGAAACAAATGGAGAGGAGTAATGATTAAAGAGAGATGAGTAATCTATGTAGGACATGGAAGGATCTGCATCAAACAGCAAAAGATAGGGGTAGTGGTGTTTTTGTGTGGGAGTTGGCGGACAGCCTATGCTCCAGTGTGAGATAAAAGGCAGAAGATGTCAAATATGCAAACATGATGGCTATTTTCAGCTGCTTGTAAAAAAAAAACTTAATAATTAAATTACTTTTATTTAATGACTTTTCCTCAAATAAATCTAAATATATATATATTTATATATATATGTGTGTGTGTGTGTGTGTGTGCGCGTGCGTGCGTGTGTGTGTGTGTGTGTGTGCCCCATCATGTCAGGGAGCTGCCTTGGTGTAGATTCAGATTTGAACCCACTCACTTGCAGATCTAAAGGTCTTGGGTTCAAATCTGAACAGAGCTGAACTTAAACAACAAAAAATACCCATGGCTCCCAGGTCGACCAAGCCTCAAATGGGTACAAGAAAAAGTCCTGGGAAGTAAAGGCGGCTGAGTTGATGTTGACCACATCACCCACTGAGTGCTGACTGGTCTATAAAGTTTAGGTCTATTGCCAGGCCCCTTGAAGAATGGCCCTTTACTGGACCCTCATGTGACCTGTGAGCTAGCAACACACATTAGACATTGTTGTGGGTTTATGGAAAACAACACAGCAGATGTGTAAGCTTGTGTTTGTCACTGCATTCCTTCCTCGAGTTCATTTGAAAATAATGAGATCTTGAGATCTATTACTAGAAGAGAAAAACCTTGCAAATCACTGGCAGTAGTCAGCCTACCACAGATGCTGACTAAATGACCTGACTCTACTTACCTGTGTTGTGACCGAAGAAACATCACCAGGTAGATATGCAGCAGGCAGGACATTGTTACCTAGCTCCTCAATTTGTATGTCAACCTGCAAGTAAATTTGCCTAACTTTGAGAAAATAACAACTCTATTATGTGAAATAGTCAGGTGCAAAACTTGCACTAATCATTCAAGATAATCTATTGTAGAAGGTGTTCAGGAGATTCACAGTGTGAATGTTTATTTCTCCTCATGAAATGCTGAATAAATCTTGACTGTCTGCATATAATTTATCTAATAAATGTAGTTGTCATTTCTTTCTGGCAGTCCACAGGCTAGGATTATGTTTACCTTCCTAGAGATGGTCTCTGCACTAACCACACATTAGATAAACAATCATTTTTCAGAGTATCAGAGGTTAGCAGACTATCGGCCATTTCAGCAGAAAGTTCCCCCTTACTCAGACATAAGATGATCATTTTGTTTTATATCAATACTCTCAGTGAAGCAGTTTGATGTTATGGCACCCACAACTGACTCACAAGGACCAGGTGTCAATACAGTGTAGATGTGCATGTTTACCACATACAGAACCTGAGAATGTCACACTTTTCCCCGAAGCTGATTAGGTGACACACTTGTCCGGTGTCAGGGAAACAAACTAAAGTAAAAAGAAACCTGCAAAAACATTGCAAGGAACAAGAATATAAAACAAACTTAGCTGGGTCAAGTCTTCACAAAAAATGACACTTCGGTAGTAACTTTACATCACTTTTAGTCTTTGAACTGACACACAAGACAATTGTCTTTTAAATCCCAATGAAGTTCAGGCTCTCAAGCAAATAAAGCTCTTAGGGATTGGTTGGATTTTTCAACCCAAGATTTTTGTAAGGCAAAGGAGAGTCAGACTCATGGTAACCCTCTTTGATGCCTCTTATGACATGCAGTGGTAATATTACTGTTTGCTTTCCATAAAGACTCCAGTAAAATATAGGGGACCAAATAACATGTCACGTGTCTAACACATGGGGGACTAAATAACTTTTCACGTGTCTAACTTATAGGGGACTAAATAACATGTAACATGTCTATGTGTTCTAAATACCTGAATAATTTTGACCCTGGGGTTAAATCTGGGCGGGGCCCCAAAGTGCAACATCCAGTTCAGTCTGGCTCCAAGCAAAAGAATGACGTCTGCTTCCTGCAGGGCTCTTTAACAAACAAACAAACAAATATAAATATTCTACCATAACATCATCGTTATCACTAACATTAAATGGGCATAGGAAATGATCCTACTTCATAACATGTGCTCTCTAGTGCTATTTAGAAAGCATGTGCCACCACTACCCCATGCCATGTTGAAGGCAATTTAGTATCTGTGTTCTGAGGTCATCTGTCATCTTTTCTCTTCATGTGGCCAGCTGTTACAGCATTGTTCTAATACGATGAAGAAATCCATGTTTACAGAATCTCATTTATTTACTGCAACAGTAATAGGCTTTGTGTAGTTGTTAGTGCTGGCCAGTAAAACAGTCAAGGATTCAAATCCATGTAGAGTCAGATTTTAAAAGGGAACTGGATTGAAGCTGGACCACCATCTTGGCAGGCAAGCACACCGACCATCTTCTTCTGCTGTCTTATCCCATCAAGCATTGTAAAGAGGAGTTGGGTGTAGTTTCCTGTCTTTTACCCACCGGTGTAACTCGTAAAGCATTGTAAAGAGGAGTTAGGTGTAGTTTCCTGTCTTTTACCTACTAGTGTAACCTGTAAAGCATTGTAAAGAGGAGTTAGGTGTAGTTTCCTGTCTTTTACCCACCGGTGTAACTCGTAAAGCATTGTAAAGAGGAGTTAGGTGTAGTTTCTTGTCTTTTACCCACTGGTGTAACCCGTAAAGCATTGTAAAGAGGAGTTGAGTGTAGTTTCTTGTCTTTTACCCACCGGTGTTACCCGTAAAGCATTGTAAAGAGGAGTTGAGTGTAGTTTCTTGTCTTTTACCAACAGGTGTTAATCGTAAAGAATTGTAAACAGGAGTTAAGTGTAGTTTCTTGTCTTTTACCTACTGGTTTAACCCGTAAAGCATTGTAAAGAGGAGTTGGGTATAGTTTCTTGTCTTTTACCCACTGGTGTAACTTGTAAAGCATTGTAAAGAGGAGTTAGATGTAGTTTCTTGTCTTTTACCTACCGGTGTAACTCGTAAAGCACTGTAAAGAGGAGTTGGGTGTAGTTTCTGTCTTTTAACCACCAGTGTAACTCGTAAAGCATTGTAAAGAGGAGTTAGATGTAGTTTGCTGTCTTATGCTAGTTCAGTAGCATTGTTAATGTCATACTGCATTTCTACAGTGTATTCAACCCTGCTGCATGATGCAGAAATTTGGAGGTGTTTTTACTGAGTCTCTGATAATGTGGATATACACAAGATTAGATCTTATCTCATGGAAGCAAAAACAATCAACTACTGAGTCTCTGATAATGTGGATATACACAAGATTAGATCTTATCTCATGGAGGCAAAAACAATCAACTACTGAGTCTCTGTAAATGTGGATATACACAAGATTAGATCTTATCTCATGGCGGCAAAAACAATCAACTACTGAGTCTCTATAAATGTGGATATACACAAGATTAGATCTTATCTCACGGAGGCAAAAATAATCAACTACTGAGTCTCTGGAGAAACTACAAATGAATAGAGAATTAATGAAAGAAATAAAACAAACAACTGAAATATTTTGGTGACATTAAAGACAAAACACTCTTTTAAAACCATACTGGAAAGAAAGGTTCAAAGCAAGACAGCAAGAGGTAGACACCGATACAAGTAGGAGTACAACACCAACAGATGGATGAACAGCAGTCTGAGAGAGTGTACAACCAAGACAAGAGACAGAGAGTGTTGTAGATCTATTGCAGCCAACCTTTATTGTGAAAATGGCACCTGACTGACTGGCTAACTGACTGACTGACTGACAGCTTGTGAATATTATGTCAAGACTATTTATGGTTACCAGGACTTTCTTGTCCTCTAAAGTTCAGTTATAGCAGACATAATGTCAGGAAGAATGGAAAGAAGACTAAATGAAATAACACAATAACAGTAATACCACACCTGGACCGGGCTGCAGACACACACAGCCTGTGTTCATCAGGCATCACTCCTTTGCCCATTGGTGTGGGCAAGAACGGTAATCCAGTGCTCTCTATCAGCCGTGAGATTGGGCCTTCAGCGCCAGCATAGGCTGCTCCTAAATAAAAGTGTAGCAACAAGTTTTGTTAGCAGGAAAGCATTTCTCATAAACATCTAAAATCACAACTAAAAAGCGAACATTAGCCATCACAACACATCTGGCACTGGGACATAAACTGCAGCTTCTCCCGGTGCTTCATAGCAAGATCTAGGAACAATATAATTTGTCTACTAGCTTGGCAGTGGATAGTCAAGCCAAGACTATCAAGAAAGATCTAGGAACAAGCTAAGACTATCAAGAAAGATCTAGGAACAAGCCAAGACTATCAAGAAAGATCTAGGAACAAGCCAAGACTATCAAGAAAGATCTAGGAACAAGCCAAGACTATCAAGAAAGATCTAGGAACAATAGTATTTGTCTACTAGCTTGGCAGTCGATTGTCAAGCCAAGACTATCAAGAAAGATCTAGGAGCAATAGTATTTGTCTACTAGCTTGGCAGTGGATAGTCAAGCCAAGACTATCAAGAAAGATCTAGGAACAAACTAAGACTATCAAGAAAGATCTAGGAACAAGCCAAGACTATCAAGAAAGATCTAGGAACAAGCCAAGACTATCAAGAAAGATCTAGGAACAATAGTATTTGTCTACTAGCTTGGCAGTGGATAGTCAAGCCAAGACTATCAAGAAAGAGCTGAGGACACAAGAGGAGACAACTAAACTACACATGATACGGGTGGACCTAGCCGATGTCTACTGGTCAACTATCATGGCAGGCCCTCCACACACCAAACCTTTGCTAAAACCAAAACAAAAATGCTTGAGAAAGATGAGATACTAAAGTAATGTGGACAGAAGCAATCCACTGAACTGCTTACTGCCTGGCATATCCTCACTGTATCTCATCTGGTGTATTGCTACACAGTTACATCAGCATGCAAATCAAATCTCACTGTATCTCATCTGGTGTATTGCTACACAGTTACATCAGCATGCAAATCAAATCTCATTGTCAAGTTAGGTTGTATATCTATCCATCAGAAAGTCAAGATGATACATGTGATTACCATGGTAACTTATAGTTTATCATGTGCTCATAAAACAGGAGAGTTCAGGTTTATTAATATAGCCTCGGCCAGTTTTAGCAAATGTCTATTCAATGGGTTGTGAGATATGCTAGACTGAGATATGAGAGCTTAGTATTTGTGGTGAATCTTGCTCCATCAGTGACCACACTTGGATGTGAGACACATGACAGGCATAATGTTGAGACAGCAGTGAAATGTCATGATTCTGAATTAGATCAGGAAAAACTGACAGATATAACAACGTTCGAACCTTTGCCTATAATGACAAGAGGTTTCTCTGCATAGACCAGCAGATCAACAGCACTTTTAACATTCTCAGGATCTGACAGCACAGGTGGTGGGGGCGGACGTGGTGGCACATACCTGGAAAAGACCGATTCCTTTTTTGTTAAACACAGAAGAATAATATGTGAAAATAATGGCAAGACACTCATCATTACCATCACTGAGATTGCTTACACGATGACATCCCCACATCTTGCACTCCATCAGCACCAATCAGTTTATGTGCTGACACCACATCCCCACATCTTGCACTCCATCAGCACCAATCAGTTTATGTGCTGACACCACATCCCCACATCTTGCACTCCATCAGCACCAATCAGTTTATGTGCTGACACCACATCCCCACATCTTGCACTCCATCAGCACCAATCAGTTTATGTGCTGACACCACATCCCCACATCTTGCACTCCATCAGCACCAATCAGTTTATGTGCTGACACCACATCCCCACATCTTGCACTCCATCAGCACCAATCAGTTTATGTGCTGACACCACATCCCCACATCTTGCACTCCATCAGCACCAATCAGTTTATGTGCTGACACCACATCCCCACATCTTGCACTCCATCAGCACCAATCAGTTTATGTGCTGACACCTTATCATGTCACAACACAAGGCTGTCAACAATTATGGTTTTCCTTTCTCTCTCCGTCTCTCTCTCCTCTCTCTCACTGTCTCTCTTTCTCTGTCTCTTTCTCTCTCTGTCTCTCTCCCTCTCTCTGTCTCTCTCTCTGTCTCTCTTCTCTCTCTGTCTCTCTTTCTCTGTCTCTCTCTGTCTTTCTCTCTCTGTCTCTCCCTCTCTGTCTCTCTCTCCATAAATCGTGTCAGCTGGGACAGCATGGCCTAGTTGATAACTTCTCATCATGTAATCCAAAAATGATGATAGCACATAACAAGAAACCAAAACAATGTTGAATGTCCCAGCTGAAGACAGTCCACAACTCAAATGTCCCAGCTGAAGACAGTCCACAACTCAAATCTCCCAGCTGAAGACAGTCCACAACTCCAAATCCCAGCTGAAGACAGTCTACAACTCAAATCTCCCAGCTGAAGACAGTCCACAACTCTAAATCCCAGCTGAAGACAGTCCACAACTCCAAATCCCAGCTGAAGACAGTCTACAACTCAAATCTCCCAGCTGAAGACAGTCCACAACTCCAAATCCCAGCTGAAGACAGTCCACAACTCCAAATCCCAGCTGAAGACAGTCCACAACTCCAATATCCCAGCTGAAGACAGTCCACAACTCCAAATCCCAGCTGAAGACAGTCCACAACTCCAATATCCCAGCTGAAGACAGTCCACAACTCCAATATCCCAGCTGAAGACAGTCCACAACTCCAATATCCCAGCTGAAGACAGTCCACAACTCCAATATCCCAGCTAAGACAGTCCACAACTCCAATATCCCAGCTGAAGACAGTCCTTAACTCCAATATCCCAGCTGAAGACAGTCCACAACTCCAATATCCCAGCTAAGACAGTCCACAACTCCAATATCCCAGCTGAAGACAGTCCACAACTCCAATATCCCAGCTGAAGACAGTCCACAACTCCAATATCCCAGCTGAAGACAGTCCACAACTCCAATATCCCAGCTGAAGACAGTCCACAACTCCAATATCCCAGCTGAAGACAGTCCACAACTCCAATATCCCAGCTGAAGACAGTCCACAACTCCAATATCCCAGCTGAAGACAGTCCACAACTCCAATCTCCCAGCTAAGACAGTCCACAACTCCAATATCCCAGCTGAAGACAGTCCACAACTCAAATGTCCCAGCTAAAGACAATTCAGACATCAACTATCTTGACCTATATTTTGTCACAACTCAAATGTCCCAGCTGAAGACAGTCCACAACTCCAATATCCCAGCTGAAGACAGTCCACAACTCCAATATCCCAGCTGAAGACAGTCCACAACTCCAATATCCCAGCTGAAGACAGACCACAACTCCAATATCCCAGCTGAAGACAGTCCACAACTCCAATATCCCAGCTGAAGACAGTCCACAACTCCAATATCCCAGCTGAAGACAGTCCACAACTCCAATCTCCCAGGTAAGACAGTCCACAACTCCAATATCCCAGCTGAAGACAGTCCACAACTCAAATGTCCCAGCTGAAGACAGTCCACAACTCTAATATCCCAGCTGAAGACAGTCCACAACTCCAATATCCCAGCTGAAGACAGTCCACAACTCAAATGTCCCAGCTGAAGACAGTCCACAACTCCAATATCCCAGCTGAAGACAGTCCACAACTCCAATATCCCAGCTAAGACAGTCCACAACTCCAATATCCCAGCTAAGACAGTCCACAACTCCAATATCCCAGCTGAAGACAGTCCACAACTCCAATATCCCAGCTGAAGACAGTCCACAACTCCAATCTCCCAGCTGAAGACAGTCCACAACTCCAATATCCCAGCTGAAGACAGTCCACAACTCAAATGTCCCAGCTAAAGACAGTTCAGACATCAACTATCTTGACCTATATTTCTATAAACCAGTCAACTCTGTGGGTGTTGTGGTCAACAACATTTTGGTGACCTTGACCTCAAAGGATATTACCTGGTCAATCTTGGAGACAGGATATCAGGTAGCTAAACTTGAAAATATTTGGGGATAAATGCTAGACAGTAAAACGCAACAGTTAGGAGAACAATGATAGGAAGAAAAGGATAAAGAAAATGAAGCCGCAAGAGCTGAAAAACAATGAGATTAGAAAAATGCACACAGAAGGCAGCTGATAATTTAATGGTGTAAGCATGTCAGAAAACAACACTGCCCAAGCAAAGATCGTTGTGGTACCTGACACTTGCTTCCTTCACAGTGCCAGCTATCATGTCCCCAGACAGGTCCAGGTAACAGGCTCCAGGCCGCCCATAGGTGCTCTCACGATATGCCTGGAATGACAAGAGCCAGAGTTTGTTACATTTAATTCACACCCAACAAAAGGTGAAAGGTCTCTTTTTAAACCAAATCAATGTCAGTATAAATGTGAAGGGTTTCTTTTCAAACCAAATAAATGTCAGTAGAAATGTGAAGGGTCTCTTTTCAAACCAAACAAACATCAGTAGAAATGTGATGGGTCTTTTTTCAAACCAAATAAATGTCAGTAGAAATGTGAAGCGTCTCTTTTCAAACCTAATTAATGTAAGTATAAATGTGATGGGTCTCTTTTTAAACCAAATAAATGTCAGTATAAATGTGATGGGTCTCTTTTCAAACCAAATAAATGTCAGTATAAATGTGATGGGTCTCTTTTCAAACCAAATAAATATCAGTATAAATGTGATGGGTCTCTTTTCAAACCAAATAAATGTCAGTAAAAATGTGATGGGTCTCTTTTTTAACCAAATAAATGTCAGTATAAATGTAATGGGTCTCTTTTTAAACCAAATAAATGTCAGTATAAATGTGATGGGTCTCTTTTCAAACCAAATAAATGTAAGTATAAATGTGTTGGGTCTCTTTTTAAACCAAATAAATGTCAGTAGAAATGTGATGGGTCTCTTTTCAAACCAAATAAATGTCAGTAGAAATGTGATGGGTCTCTTTTCAAACCAAATAAATGTCAGTAGAAATGTGATGGGTCTCTTCAAACCAAATAAATGTCAGTAGAAATGTGATAGGTCTCTTTTCAAACCAAGCAATATCAGTCAAAGCTGCAAGCAGTGAGAAATGGAGATTGAGAAGCAATAACGAAATCTGTTTAAATCACCACTGATTACTGGCATTATGAGAGCTAATAGACTGAAATGGTTGGGGCGTTTTGAAAGAATGTCAGATGACATAGAAGTCAAAACTGTATACACAAGGGAGATGAATGAAACGTAGATCATGAGGCAGACCAAGAAGAAGATGGAGAGATAATGTTCAGACAGACCTGCAAACACTTGTCACCAACTGGAAAGAGAAGGCCAATCATAGAGATGAAAGGAGGCAGGTGATATCAGCAGCAATGAACCTCAAGGACTCAGAATGCTGAAGAAGAACAAGAATATCAGTAACAATTAAAATGATCTCCTTTCACAAAAAGAAACAGAAATGTGAAAGATCTCTTTTCACAACAAGAAATGTCAGTAAATACTAAAAATTAAAAACGGTCTTTCACATACAAAATGTCGATATAAATGTGAATTATCTTTTACACCAAAACATGGTAAAAATGTGAAAGCTCCATCAAAATACGTCCCACTGATCTGTTGCTGCCCTACATAGTGCACATTTATGCTGGGGGTTTATCAGTTACTGATCCCCTCACAGAATTACATTCTCACCGTATCTTTAGTGCAGCCCTCACAACCTTATCCAACATGTTCCACAATTTACATATACATGACCTATTCAGTGATTCACAATCGATAACTTCCTGCCTGAAGCAGATAAGGACACTCCTGACCCACTGCCAGTACAGTCTTGCCATGTTTCTAGGATTCTTCCAAACAAACAAACAACCCACATGTGTCGCCATCCGCACGTTACTCTGTAGCTATAGCGACGTTCCTCCATTTACCCCACAGTACCGGTAAATGGTTTCATAGAACAGGCACAGTACCGGTAAATGGTTTCATAGAACAGGCACAGTACCGGTGAATGGTTTCATAGAACAGGCACAGTACCGGTGAATGGTTTCATAGAACAGGCACAGTACCGGTAAATGGTTTCATAGAACAGGCACAGTACCGGTGAATGGTTTCATAGAACAGGCACAGTACCGGTGAATGGTTTCATAGAACAGGCACAGTACCGGTGAATGGTTTCATAGAACAGGCACAGTACCGGTGAATGGTTTCATAGAACAATGAGGCAATTCACACTTAGACAGTTAGTGGACAGGACGGCAGAATTTGATAAAGAATTACACGTTGCATTTGTCGATCAAGGGAAAGCTTTGGATCGAGTTAACAGGAATAAGTTATGGAAGGTACACATGGTTACATAGCAACCGAATATCTTATTGAATTGCGCAAGAGTTTATATGTTCACACAGTCAATGTGTAGTTAGAACAAACATTAGTAGTGTCAGAGAAGTTTTACTTAGATCTGGAGTGTGTTTTATTAATAACACTGATCATTACATACGTCGACCATATTTGTAAATCAATTACCATCAGTAAAGGGGACAACAGCGGAGAATTACAAAATGAATGGCTTTTCGTCGATGATCAGGCAATCATCGCACCAACAGCAGTACAACTACAAGAACATTTTCATGCATGCAACTCAGCATGCAACGACTACGATATGAAGATCAATTTAGACATAACACAAGTGATGACATTCTCCAGAAAAGGATGAATTGCCAATATCAAAACTGATCAACGTCAGTTAAAGCAGGCAAAACATTTTACCTATCTAGTGAGCATCTTTTTAGAAGACGGGATAATTAATAAAGAAATCCAACAAAGATGCAAAGAACCAATCAAGTTTGAGAACAAATGGCACAATTCTGAAAGCAAGCACGTGGAAATGACCACTAGAAGAGCACTGTTTAAAACAATATTCTTAACAACGCTACGCTATCAATGTCAAATATGGACACTCTCTTCAAAAGACAAGCAAAATAGTCACAACAGAAATAAAATGTTTACCCACTCTGCTAGGTGTGACAAGGACAGACTGACAAAGGAAAAGTGAAGTGAGTCAACACAGAACCAAACCTGAAGGTTATCGGTAGACAACAGTTCAAATGGTTTGGCCATAAAAGAAGACTGGTACCAGACAGGGCACCGCAAATAGCAATGTTATTGACACACAGTACTAAAAGATCCAGAGGTTAAACACACAGAATATGGACCAAAGAAACAAGTATTATATACAAAGCCACAAGAAGGGCCAGTTGCTGAGATTTTTTCCAGTCCTTACGCTGCCCCCCCCCCCCACCTTTCGCAGTAATGAAACCAGGTGAGACCCGTAGCCCCCCTCCCCACATTTTCCAGTAATGACACCAGGTGAGACCCGTAGCCCCCTCCCCACATTTTCCAGTAATGACACCAGGTGAGACCCGTAGCCCCCCTCCCCACATTTTCCAGTAATGACACCAGGTGAGACCCGTAGCCCCCTCCCCACATTTTCCAGTAATGACACCAGGTGAGACCCACACCCCCCCCCCCCCCCTCATCTTTCCCAGTAATGACACCAGGTGAGACCCACATCATCCCCACCTTTCCCAGTATTGACACCAGGTGAGACCCGTAGCCCCCCTCCCCACATTTTACAGTAATGACACCAGGTGAGACCCGTAGCCCCCCTCCCCACATTTTCCAGTAATGACACCGGGTGAGACTTGCACCCCCCCCCTCATCTTTCCCAGTAATGACACCAGGTGATACCCGTAGCCCCCCTCCCCACATTTTCCAGTAATGACACCAGGTGAGACCCGTAGCCCCCCCCCCACATTTTCCAGTAATGACACCAGGTGAGACCCCCCCCCCCCCCCCACTTACCTTTCCCAGTAATGACACCGGGTGAGACTTGCACCCCCTCCCTCATCTTTTGCAGTAATGACACCAGGTGAGACCCATAGCCCCCTCCCCACCTTTCCCAGTAATGACACCAGGTGAGACCCACATCCTCCCCACCTTTCCCAGTAATGACACCAGGTGAGACCCACATCCTCCCCAACTTTCCCAGTAATGACACCAGGTGAGACCCACATCCTCCCCACCTTTCCCAGTAATGACACCAGGTGAGACCCACATCCTCCCCAACTTTCCCAGTAATGACACCAGGTGAGACCCACATCCTCCCCACCTTTCCCAGTAATCACACCAGGTGAGACCCGCATCCTCCCCCACTCACATTTCCCAGTAATGACACCAGGTGAGACCCACACCCCCCTACTCACATTTCCCAGTAATGACACCAGGTGAGACCCGAACTCTTCCCCCCCCCCCCCCACTCACATTTCCCAGTAATGACACCAGGTGAGACCCGCAGCCCCCCCCCTCCCCCACTCACCTTTCCCAGTAATGACACCAGGTGAGACCCGAACCCCCTCCCCCCCTTTCCCAGTAATGACACCGGTTGAGACACCCCCCCCCCCCCCCAGGAAGGGAGTAAAAAAGACAGCACAGAGATGCAATATGAAATTGATCAACACAAACTACGCCTCTAGCAAAAGACAAGAAAATACAGACAACACCTCTGTACGACATCAGCTTTAGGGAACAAAGAAGTAACGTGCAGCAGGTGGGGTTTTCCCCGTCCGCGGCCTGACAGCACCGCAGCGTGCACAAGTGGGAGTAGCTCAGGGAAGACAACTCTACGGAACTGAACAATATCAAGGCATGGCTGCTGCATACCAAGTGCCAGAGACCTTTTGATATAACCGAGGACGGATTCAGAGCGCAGCCTTCATCTTTCAGTTTCTTCCTGGCGTTTACCGTTTGTAGCTGACATTTTCACAGGCATGCTCCCAGTCATTGACAAGACAATGCTATTATCGTCACCAGGTCTATAAACCGCGCCATGTGATGAGACTTCTCCGTGTGTTTGGTGAGCTCCTGGTAAGCATACGCGCCCATGTCCCAGACGAAACGAACTGTCAAGAGTTCGAAAGCAGCTCGAAACGCGAGTAGATTTACCGAGGAATTATTTATTGTAGACGAAGATGCCGAATACCAATCGCAGAGGCCAAGTCAGACTGAAGTTGAGGACGCCACCAATGTCCTTAGGAAGACTATCGCCACTCTGCACCCCGGCGTCAGTCGGTTTTCTCTGAGCACCCTCCCCCAGGAATCACGTCTACTGCAGGTGGTGTCCGACCCAAGGAAAACTAAGTTTGGTGTAGTGAAGTATCTGCATACTGAAGACACAATAACCAGGGCAATCGAGGTGGTAGTTCCCGACCAGTGCGTCTACATACGAATTGTTAATATTCACATGGAGGTTAATACCA